GAACTTGGTTCCCCTAGGGGACCATCAAGTTTCCTGGCCCTTGATCGTGATTTAGATCAAGGGCCAGGCTCTGTTCCGGGATTTGGCTGGGGGCAAAGCAGCTGCCCTCAGCCTTCAGCCAGCTATAAAAGCTAGCCTGCCACCCAGCAGCCTCACACTTGTGGCAATGCTGCTGGGGCATTCTACTTGAGTAGATGCTGGCTGGCTGGCTGCTGGCGTGATGAAGCGAAGTGTTGGAGGTCTGCAGAAGCACTTGGAGGAAGGAGGAGGCAGCCATAGCTAGAGGCTGGGAGCTTCTAGCCCCACCTCTTGTGCTGTGCTGCAGGCTGTGGGGGAGCCATAACCGTAAGGCTGCTGTTGATTTGGGCCGTACGGCAAGGGGTTTTCTTGAGTAGGAGGCCGCGTCGCTGTCCCCTTGGGCGGAAGCGCTGCCGAAATTGTACGGCGGCAGCGCTGGTTTTCTTGACGGTACGGCGGAAGCGCTGCCGAAATTGTGCGGCGGCAGCGCTGGTTTTCTTGGCGGTGCGGCGGAAGCGCTGCCAAAATTGTGCGGCGGCAGCGCTGGTTTTCTTGGCAGTACGGCGGAAGCACTGCCGAAATTGTGCGGCGGCAGCGCTGGGTTTCTTGGCGGTACGACGGAAGCGCTGATTTTTTACGGCGGTGACATTGAAGTTTTGGAAGTGCTGTCTGGTTCTTACGGCAGCAACGACAATTTTGAGGAGCGTCATTAAAAGGGGGTGTACTTTGAGGTGGTGTTGACGTTGTGTTGTCCGCATATTGCGGCGGTGACGCCTCGACACAGTGGTGGCGTAGCGGTATTGGTCGCAAGTGGTGACAGCGCGAAGACACTGAGGGGATTGTGTGTCAGTGGGCGATACCTTTGAGGGAGTGGTGTGGATCACTTTTCTGGCAGCTCGCTGTGGCGATCTTCTCATTTGGAGTGTGGTTTATACGGCTTTCTTGAGTGGGTCATTTGCTATCTTTGGATCAGCATCACTCAAGGTCAGTTAACCTGACTCAGTCCCCTTCACGCCTGTGTGAACCCACACTTGCTTGACCCTATTCTTTGAACGTTCATTGAAAAGGTAAAGGAGATGTGTGCATGCGCATGTGAGTGGGAGTCTGACTTGAAAATGGGTTTGCATCGTTTTCTTTTTTTGAAGTGTTGTTTGATCTGATGTGCAGGTAAGTAGAAGAATGCTGAAAAATTGAGATTTAATCATGTCAGCGAAAGTGCATGGAATGATGATTGCTTTCTACTTTTTGCCTGCATGCATGTTGAAAGGATAGGAAGACAGCAGACGACGAGAAACGGAGCGATCACACACAGGAGAAGAAGTGAATTGGACGTAGATTTTCCCTGAGGTTACCCATTCTTTCCGAATGTCCCTCTCTATCTGTGTCCGTCTGTCTGAATGATTTTCTCCTCTGATCTCCTTTCTCGTCTAGGTTCGCCCTTGATGTCAGGCGATAAAGGGCTGACCGCCTGCCGTGGTAAGTGCATTTCCTTTCCCTAGGAGGCATCTGAGGCGGGGGTTCGTTGCCTTAGGGGCCGACCCTGTTAACGACTCGGAATGGACCGCTTAGGCGGGGGGATACCATGCTGTCGTGGTGGAGCCAGCCCGACTTCTGAGATCCGAGGTTCGCTCGGGCGAGGACGAGGGGTATCCCAAACCACCTCCTAGGGGATGGACGTGTGCTATTCACGGAAGGCGTTAAGTTCTTGGCGGCTCACGTTAAGAAAAACCGCTATAGTTTACCTTTCTAGTGGCCGTCTTATGAGCCACAGACGAATGGGGAACTGGCGCCATAAGAAGCCCAGTTCGTGTGTTCACTAGCTATGGACGGAGTGCGACTAGGCACTACCTTCGCGGATAGGGTTGCACCATAAGAACTGCAAGCCTTGGGCGATCAGACTAGTTGGCGGAAAGATGTGAATAGAGTATTGCCCTGAATATCTTTATGTTAAAAGTTGGTACTTCATCATTCGTGGAACAGAAAGAGTAATTATTGCCCAGGAGGACAAAGCGACCAACAAAGTTTGAAAGTGGATCCCTGACCTTAATGGGGCATCGGGCGTCCGATTTGGTCGCTGGCTCGTATAAGTGGTAGCCGAATTACTTGCAGATGGCATTCACACCAAAGTTAGAGAACTAGTGAAATCATCATTAAAATAATGACATCCTAGCTCTACTTGAGTATTGAGATTTGTCTGTGCTTCTTTTCTAGCAGTCAGTATGGGGCGGAATGAAAGAACTTGGCAACGCACCTCATCAAATCGAAAGAGTCGCGTCAGCCCAGCCGTTTGGCAGGCAGAGTGAAGATATTTTGGTCAGACGTCATTTAAGCGTCGCATTGTGTATAGGTCATGCTTTGATCTTTTGTTGATAAGTGTTGTTTGAAGCCAAGTCAACCTTTGTCGTATGCATGATTGTATTACATATAGGTTGATTTCATAAAATAAGTCAGCTTATTTTGACTTGAGTTTTTTGTCTGAGTAACTGTTGATTGTCTTTGAAAGAAGGGACTAGGATTGATTGAGATTTTCTTACACCTAGGTTATCACGTCTTAGTCGATCGGCATACGTTCTGATTCATGGGAGATCAGCGACCCAGGGACGGACGACGGTCGGGTTCGCTTTGGCGTTTAACCATGCGTACCTATGCTACATCAAACGAGCAAGCGCCCTCGGCCGACTTACCTCTGCAATTGCATTATAAAAGCTTTCGCATGTGGGTCGGTAGCTCGGTAGGGATACGCCCATAAGGGTGGTGACAGCCCCTTAGGGAAGGTAAGTTGTGCCCCGCGGAAACCTATCCTGTCGTAAGGGACCGCGGGATGTACAGCTGGCGCACTCAGCCGGAGCGGCGAAGGGTCGGCGCGGGTTACCGTGTCGTCCCCGAGTTGTCTCTAAAAAGTTGAAAGCCTGCGTTTCTCCTGCGTGACACGGCCGGGAGGGCCCTCGCTCGCGCGGGGGCCGATGCGCTCGACAACGTACAAGGGGAATCTAAGAGAGATGAGGGAGGGGTTAAGTACCGGGAGTAGGACGGGTAGAGGGGGGATCATCGCATCTAGCAGAAGGGGAGGGCCCCCCATAGAGTCTGCTAGGTGGGAAGCAGCCTGGCTGCGGACTAGTCGAGCCCCGGCTGGTCTGGGGTGCCTATGGTAAAAATGTGCCTGGGGGGGTGTCCTAGTCTTAGGTGTCTCACCAGGTAGAAAAAGCATGCCTGCATACCATCGAGTGTGGTTGCAGGCCCCTAGGTTCGACTCGCGATGGGGTTAGAATAGGTGAGGAAGGGGAAAGTCGGTACTGCGGGATAGATAGTAGTGTGCCCAATATGCTCTCCGGACAACCTGAATGGGCAAGGACTGAGGGCTGGCCTGTCTGGTCAAGGCATTCGACCGCTACAACACCCTGGGTTGGGCCCCCCTCGTGAGTGTAGCCCCGCTAGCGGGGCAGCTCACGTTGGGTACCCTTTGAAAAAAAAAAGAAAAGAAATCACATACGAGGGGTTGGGAGTGAGTGGGAAAAAAGAAAAAAAAAAGGCGCCAGGCTCATTCCTGCGTTGTCGTGAAAAGAAAAAAAGAAATCGCATACACCACACACCTTGGTCAAGCGAACAAGTTATCTACAAAATGTAGAGCCAAGCATAGTTTGGTTTTAAAATAAATATAAAATTTTAAACAAATAAATAAATAACAACAACCAAGCATATGTGAGGAATGAGCCCTCGCGGGGGGCCTTATCAGACATACAAGTGCTCAGGGCTGCGGCCCCTAGCAAGCCCGTGGACGCCCTAAGTGAAGGCGGACCTGGATATCCACGTGAGGCCTGTTTTCGACATTTTCCATATGTGGGTACTCAGACAGTTGCAGCACGCCAGGTGGTTACAGAGCAACGTGAGCCTCCAGGCTCTTCCACAAGCAAAAGAGCTGCGCTGTACAGTTGAGCCCAGGGCTCAGGTGGTTGCGCCCTGGCCACACGCTGTGTGAGGCGGACACATCACAAGCTGGTTACAGGCCGATGAGGAAGCAGCACTGTCGTCACACATGCGCCGCGAGCCAATGAGAATGCTGGAAACATTTGGAGGCTGGGTGGCTGCCTGGACGTGACTAACTGCATGCGGCCCAGGCCAGTACCGGAAACTGGGCCTGGCTGCAGACACTTGGGGCCAGAGGCAAGCTACTGGGCCCCCCACACGCCTGGACAGGACAGCCAGCGGCGGACACTTTCCATATAGGAAAGTGTGTGCCCCATGCGAGGGCATTCGGGCCTTGGCAGGCAATGCGGACGAGCTGCTGCGTTGCTGCGCTAGGTGTCTGCATAGGCGCTGCTGGTTGGATGCGCGCACGGGCACTGAGGTGAGGGGCGCTGCTGAGGCAGCGGGGGCACAGCAGCCATAGCCGGGCTGCAGGGGCGCAGGCAGGTGATAGTGATGACGGTCTTCGGGTAGGAGGCGCATGCAGAGAGTGGAGGTCGAGGTGTGATGAGGGGAGCAGAGAGAACGTACCTGGTGTATGCTGGTGGTCGGCATTGGTGTTGACGTCACGTACATTGGTCGTCGACTTCGATGTGATCCAGTCGCAAGAACGTAGATAGTGTAGATAGGCTGAGTAGAGGAGAATGGGCATTGGGCGCCAGACAGTAGGAGCAACATTGGATACAGTGTTGATGTGACCAGAGAGCGCCGGCATTGACACTCCAGTTCATTGCATTGTTCTTATTTGGATGGAATTTTGGTGCATTGTGCTCTCTGCTTGGTACATGACTACCTGGACTACGTGATTTTGCAACTTGGTTTTCTGTCTGTCGCTCTCATTCATATTCCTTGCACATAGTCCTTCGGGACATCCGTTAGAATTGGAACGATACAGAGAAGATTACGCAAGGCTGGCACACATAAAAAAAAAAAAAAAATTTTCAGTTTAAAAAAAAAAAAAAAAAAAAAAAAAAAAAAAAAAAAAAGGCATAGTTGCACGGCAATGCACGCACACATAC